GGCCTCCATGCAGAGCATCCAAGCATCACCTTGGACCTCCCAGTTGACACTGGGCAAACCAACATGGAGAACTAAGACAAGGAACCGCCTTAAATCACATACATACATGGAATAGAGGGTCTGTCTCTCTGGCTGTATCTGGGACCTGATTTCTTCTAATTCCCAATCTCTTCTCAGGTTTCTGATTTACTTCAGGTGACTCCTGAAGTCAAGCTACTCTGGGCCTTTGGGGCACTGGAACATTTCTTCAGTGTCACACTCACTGCCCCTTGATGTGTTTGTCCCTGGCAGTCTGTGAGGAGGGAGGCCATGTAATTCAACGAAGTATGCACAAGCACAGGCCTGGCATGCAGCTGGCACTAAAAATGTCTATTGCACTAACAGATGACTGCAGATGGTGTAGGTTCTCACCTCCCGTTTCTAGGTAATTCTCTCCCTTGCTTGCTCTGAAGTCACACACGGTGAAGATAGGAAGTGGGCTTACTGTGTTGCTTGGGCACCAGCTGACACATCATCCTTTTCGTGATCCTCTTTTTCCGATGAAGGTTGGAAACTTTCATTCTAGAAGGACCCTCAGCTCAGGGGTTGTGACTTTAGGGGTTAGGGAGGGCACTTGCGAAGCCAGGATTCATTGTGGATAAATTGTTTGTCAATTTCTGGGTTCGATTTATCAGCTCCAAGGAGTTCATGAGAGCATCCTAAGAACCATTCCTGCTGAGGTCCAGGAGATGGTGCCAGGCCTGGCTGTGGCAGGCAGCTCCGGGAGAGGAAAGTGGATAGGCTGCTGATATAGTCTTGCATTGCAGCAGTGCCTGCCCTCCAGGGTGGCACAAGTCCTGAAGCCAGCATGTATTTCTCTGACTCTGGGACAAGGGGGACTGACCACAGGATGGGGTGGTCTCAACAAATATCAATAGTTCCAAGGTACCGAAGCTTGCCTCTCAGTAGTTTGCCCAACACAAAGGCTTCATAACAGCCCCAGGAAGCTGGCAGGCAGGAGCTGCTGTTCCCATTTAATTGATGGGACAGTCAGTCCAAGATCCCTCTGTGGTGGCTGCTTGACCACCCTTCATGCTGCCCCCCTACCTTGAACGTGGGAGGAGACATGACTGAAAAGGCAGGCTGCCGTGCAAAGGACACAGATGCGTGGCTGGGAGATGGGACCCTCTGGGTCTGATGTCCCATTCCCAAACCTGGCCAGCCAGAAATCCTACATTCTGACCCTTTCTGTAGCACCGGGACAAGAAAGCAGCATTTTCTCTGCAGCCCCAGTTTCCAAGGTAGCTGCTGTCCACCCCTAGTCTACTTCTTAAAGAGTCACAAGGTCACTTAGGTGGAAGAGAGACAGGAGGGAAGAAGGGAGAAAAGGAAGGGAGAAAGAAAGGAAGAGAGAAGGAATGAAAAAAAAGAAAAGGGGAGAGAGAAAGAAGGAAGGAAGGAGAAATAGAAAGAAATGAAGGATGAAAGGGAGAACAAAAGAAAGAAAAGAAAAGTAGGAAAGAAAAAAGAAAGGAAGGAGGAAGGGAGGAATGCATGAATAAAGGGAAAGTGAAACAGAAACAAGAAAAGCAAGAGAAAGGAAGAAAGCAAGCTATTTGTGATAATAGGCAATTCCCTAGAGAAGATCTTAGGGGAAACTGGCTGTCAAATAGTTTGAAGGAAATGATATTTGGACAACCAGCAAATGAGGCTTCCTCCCACTTCCTGCCATCCATCTCCATTTCCTCTGTTCAGTCTCCTCCTCCAGCTGTTCACTCCTCTGGCAAATAGTGTCTCTCTCATGCTCCCTTCCACCCTCCCCTGGGGTCAGCTGAGCACCGCTTTCTTGATGATGCTACATTAAGAAATCAAAACCCCAAATCTCAGATGCTTCCTTCCAATTCCCCAATGCCTGCCCCAGAAGCTGGCCTGGGACATGACTCCACTGGTAGTCAGCAGGGAGGCCAGTAGCTAAGCTGACCAGGGTGAGCACGCAGAGCCGAGTCCTCTTACTCCGGGACTCGTTCTGGAGGTCCCCACCCTCAACTCTGCCAATTCACGTGTGACTCTGGAGAGGATGGCTTATCATGTCGGGGCCTCCATTTCTTCATCTGAGGTAACATGTGGTGAAATATCTATTTCTGTGGTCCCATCACTCCTTGCCCATGCATGGGCACAAACAGCTTGCATGGATGTTAAGAGCTAAGACACCATGTGCAGACAGACACCGTCCTGCTGGCTTGGCCCTAAGATGCAGCCAGGACCTGCCAGCCACAAGCCTCCCAGCCAGCCAGGCAGTCGCAGTGGGGCTGGGGGATTGTGGAATGTGGAGGGAAGAACATCAGCCCCAGGGCAGGAGCGAGCAGAGGAGACTCAGGTGAGTCACCTCAGGCTAGCCATCAGCTTTTCCAGCCTCGATTTCCCTGTGTCAGAAATGTGTCCACATCAAGCAGATCCACAATCTCTCCTTTTAAGGTAACAGAGAAGAGACAGCTGCAAGTCTTACTGAAGAGTTGTGGTTTTCAAAGATCTTGCGCATCCCTCTGCAACAACGTGAAGGCAGAGCCTTCCCGAGCCCCACAGCCTACACTTCCAGGGAGCTCTTTCATAACTGAATCCCTACTTTGCGTTGATCATTGCCCTAGGAACTCCCATATGTCAGCCCATTTGACCTCAGGACCACTCCTTGGGGAAGGTCTTAAAATTGCCACTGTGCAAATGAGAAAGAGAGGCTCAAAAGGCTCAGGGATTTGTCCAAAGTCACACAGCAAATGAATGGCAGAGCTGAGACTAAAATCTGGCCTTGGGACTACCAGTTTGCTGCACCATTGTGGTGTCATTGCTTTAGAACTCTGTGAGTAAACAGATAGTAATAGCAATAGTGCTTACTGTCTTCAGGCCCTGTGCTGAATACTTCACACGCATTGTCTTATTCAATACTCATCACGCTTTGGTGAGAGAGAGAAATTTACATCTCTGTTTTATAGACATGGGAACTGAGAGAAGTTTGTTCAGTGTCATACAAGAAATGACTTGGCAGAGCTACCAAGGTCAAATCACTTGTAAGTAATGGAGTCAGGTTCAAACCAGGGTATATAAAGAATTTCAGTGGAGGGAATGAGGACCTCAAGCCTTGCACCAGTGCAGAGAATGATTGTGCTCCTCCAGAGGCTGAGTGAAGTTCAAACACCAGCCTCAATGAGCCTGGGCCAGGGCTGCGTTGGTGAAGGAGGGAGCAAGTAAAACCAGACTCCTTTCTCAACAAGTCTACAGCGTATCTTTCTCAGGTTACTTTCTCTAACCTTTTATCAGTCTTAAGAACTGCAGTGTCAACATGTTATCTTAAATCATTATTGTACAGTGACCATGTCAGCACATTCATTGCCCTATCCCCAGGGCTCAGCACACTGCCTAGCATCTTGTAGGCACTTAGCACATATTTGTCAAATGAACTAAATATTCTCTAATTGCCTCATTCAACTCAATCATCATTAACTGGGTACCTATTATGTGCTAGGTACCACTGATCCAGAGGTAACTGAGCATGGGTACCGCCTGAAGGAAGTCTCAGTCTAGGGTGGGTACGGAATGTAACCACTGGTACCATACCACCTTAAACACTTCAAAAAGTACTGTGGAGAATGAATGGTTGGCAAACGACTTATCAGAGCCACCACTGAGGAATGAGCCAACTCCAGTGGGAACACGGGAAAAAGACCCTTTGCTCTGTGAGGAGAGTCACAGTGGGGCTGGGGGCTTGTGGAGAGTGGAGGGAAGAACATCAGCCCCAGGGCAGGAGCAAGCAGAGGAGACTCAGGTGAGTCACCTCAGGCTAGCCATCAGCTTTTCCAGCCTCAGTTTCCCTGTGTCTGGTGACAAAACATGTCCACATCACGCAGAGCCATAATCTCTCCTTTTAAGGTTCGTCCCCGCCACAGACGAACCGCCTTTGCGCACAGACTGGGCTCCTGGCACCCGGGTGAAGGCAGCTGGAGGATGAGATGCGATTTCAGCCTGAAAGGATGAGGACTTTGTCTTCAGCCATATGGAGAAAGGACTATTCCAAACAGAGGGACCAGTCTGAGCAAAGGCATTCGGGTGTAAAATTATTGCCTAGGACTGGAGTGAGGGATGTGTAGTGTAACTGACAATAGACCCCTCTTCAAGAGCAGGCCACATATTCTTTATTTCCCAGGGGGTGGAAGGGGGCAGACTCACAGAGGAATTGATTCATAATGAATTGAAGAAAGAAAAACCTCCTGAAGCTGACATTATAATTAATTGGCTCATCCCACTAGTCCTCACTTAGACTCATTCTCATGTAGAGACAAAACGTGATTAATCACCTCAGCAAGTGCATTTCCAAACCACATCCAGGGAAGTCTAGAGCCTAGGTGCAGGACCTTTCCAATTTGAGTTGGATTTTGCCTCCGGGAGGGAGTATGGGTACCAGCCAGCATTTTCATCATCCGCAGGTCAGGTACCTTGAAATGTCTGGTGGCACTCAGGGAAGAGCCCCCCAGCTTTTTGTCACAGGACACAGCTGCTCCCTTCCTGGTCATGTAGCTGGCCTCCCTCTCATAATGGGACTAGAGGCTGGGCAGGCTGCTTGCAGAGGAAGATGGGGTCTGCCTGCAAACCTGCTGATTCAGGCTCCACGAAGGAGCTAGTAACACTGGACTCCTTTCGGCGCTCCGAGAATGGGGTGAGGGCGTCTTGGAAGGATTTCCTTCCCTTCTCAGTACTTTTCCCTGCTCTCAGTCCATTTGCTGCTAAGATTTAGGGATTTTCAGGACTGGAGGGAAAGTCCCTCGGGACAGTCATAGAGAGCTAGCACAGGGTGGCCTGGAGAGCGCAGAAGGAAAGGCTGGGTCCGTGGAAGGCGCGGGGAAGGCAGGGTGGGGACTCGGTGGAGCCCGCGCTCTTTTGCTGAAGGCTTGGAAAGGCAGCGCAGAAGACAGACGGTGACTGGGGAGACTCGGGAGCCTGCCCGGCCGGCGGGGGGGTGGGGGGCGGAGGGAGAAGTTGGGGGTGGCTGCTGAGTGGGCCTCTGGAGTATGTGTGTCTGTGTCAGTGCGTATGTGTGTCACTGTCAGTGCGTGTGTGTGTCTGTCTCAGTCCGTGTGTGTGTCTGCGCTGGCGCCTGACCAGGGTGATTTCCCATAAACCACATGCCCCCACGCTCGACTTAAAAGGCTGTGCCGAGGGTTGGCTAGTGAAGTTCGGCCCGAGGAAAGTGAAAGTTCGCCTGGGTCCTCTCCACTCGGGAGCCGCTCTCCGCATCCCTGGACAGCGGCGCGGCCCTCGGCCGGGGCGCCCACTCGGCAGCGGCCAGCGAGCGAGCAAGGGCGACGACGCCCCCGGCCGGGACCCAGCTGTCCGTATGACCGCGCCGGGTGCCGCCGGGCACTGCCCTCCCACGGTAAGCGGCTGCCGCGGCGTGGGGCCCTGGATGGACTGGGGCGGGGGCTCGGCGGCCAGTTTGAGGGGAGCGGCAGCTTGGAGCTGAGAGCCTGGGCGCACCGGCTACACTGGCTCAGAGTTCCTGTCGCGGACGAACCGCCGTTGTGCACGGACTGGGCCCCTGGCGCCTGGGCGGAGGCTGGTGGCGTCCCGGCAGCTGCACCCGGCATTGCCGGACTTCCCCGGGAAAGGGAAGGCTGCTCACCCCCATTGCACGGAGGAGAACGCTGTGCCACCCGCAGGCAGGAGGCCCCACTCAGCCAGGATGTCCTGCCTCTCTCCCTACCCACCACCACCAAGGCAGAGGTGGAGCTGTGAGCTGAGTGTGTGCCTTCCTCCGTGGGCACCTTCCTCAACGGCCACACACGTGCTTCCAAGGCCCTGCTGGGGAGTGGGTACTTCTGGACGGGGAAAGTTCAGGGGGTCAACCAACTTATAGAATGCCAGGGCCTTGCTGGCAGAGGGATGGAGAGGGGCAAACCACTGCTTGTTCCAGCCCACAGGCAGGTGACTAGGGTGGCTGTTTGGGGGTTGGAGAGGGGGTTGCTGCAACAGCAAACAGCCCCCCTGGGGTAACTTGGGGCTAGCTCAGAATCCCTTTATCTTGCAAATTCTGGTTTCAGCGACTGGGGAGATCCTGGGCTTTGTGGTGGTTTGTTGTGCAGGAGGAATGGAGAGAGGGTTTGGTGCTGCAGAGCTGTGGCCAGGGGCGGGATCTGCTCCTGACTGCGCAGGGGATGCCCTTCCCAACGGTGTCAGTAGCAGCTTCGGCCATAGAAAGTGGGGGTGGCACTGTGAATGACCAGCCAGTGGGCTCATAATGGGTTTGCTTCTGGGGAGCCCTGGGAGAAAATGAGAGGAGAAACCTGGGGGGAAAAGAGCAGAGAATTATTTGCGGGTAGAGGAGAAAGGGTTGCAGGTGAGGTGAGAGAGAAAGGGAAGAGTGGGTCCATAGGGGACCGTGCCCCACTGAGAGAGGGGAGATAGGGCTGAGAGGGGAAGGAGAAGGGTTAGCCATAGGCAGTGAAGCAAAGCTTCAGGGCTGAAGGGGAGACCATGAGGAAAGAAGAGGACGACAAGGCGGCTGTGTTTAGACAGGGGAAGTCCAAGGGCAGGGTCCTGCCAGGTCTCTCCAGAGGCCTTGCTTCTGGGTAAGATGGAATGGAACAGGATGGGTGGCAGAGGAGGCTGCACAGCTGGGCTGAGGTGTCCTAGCATCTCTGAACCTGCAGTGGAGATTCCTTCAGAGGGCTGCTCCCCAGGCAGAGGCCAGGGCTAGGGATGGGAGGAAGAAGCAGTCAGAGGAGAGCCTGCTCAGCCAGATGCAAGCCAGAGTGTTAGTCCCCCTGCTGCCTGTCCAGATCCTCTGGAAGCAGAGTGGAGGCCCCAGGTCCAGAGGGATCCCCACTGACCACCTTCAAAGTCAGCCTCTCATGTGGTGGCTGCGCTCTCCCCCAACTGATGCCTGAAATGTCACCAAAACCAGGCAGCCCTTGGAGTTAAGCATTGCGCTCACCTTGCTATCCTCAAGCATCAGTGTCTGGAAGTGCCTCCAGGGAGGCTGTCTTCCCGGGCAGTCCCTTTCGTCCATACCATTCACTCCAGAGCCTCAGTGGCAGCCAGCCTGGGGCAGATGTACCCTAGTGGCCCAGTTTCATCCAATCGTTCCTGAACCTAAGGTTTCTGAGAACCTGGGCCATTGTTCCCACCCAGGGCAACCTCCCCAACTGAGCCTGAAGTCCCCCCAGCCCCATGACTGTCCTCCCCTTCTTCCACACTTTCCCTCCCTCAGATCAGCCAGGACCTCACAGTCCCTGTGTTGACTGGTATTAAACCAACCTGTACCTCTTCCTTCCATGCCTCCCACCCCTCTCCTGCCATCAGCTTCTCCCCATCTTTCAGGGCCTCACTGAGGTCCCTGCTCTCTGCAGTCTCCCTGATAGCCCAGCCAGAGCTGGGCTCTCCTCCTCATAACAGCTGGCCAGCATTTGGGCTTTTAGTGACATGTAGCTTAGCACATTGTTGTGGGCTGTTTCATAGCGTCCTTGTGTTTTTCCAGTGAGCTACTAATCTGCAGTATTTGTCTCATCATCTGGATTATTGAGGCAAAGCCCATAGTCCAGGAAAGTGTCAAGCCTAACCCCACCCTGCCATCATTTCCCTGAATCTGAGGGCATTAGCTTCCAGGAGGTTTGGGAGCTCTCAGGAGGCAACCTCAAGCTGAAGAAAGAAAGGCCGAGTCCCTCTGCTTTTGGCTGAAGAAGGAGAGACAATAGGGCCAGGGATAGGGATGAGGAGACCTCATTTAAGAGGAGGAAGAGAAGAAGGAAGGGGAAAGACAGAGCGTTAGGAGCCAGTTCCATCACTCTGGGGATGAGCAACTACTGGGCCACGTGGGTGCTTGGAGAGGAGAGGGGTCTCAGAAAACTTCCCTGCCATCATAAAAGGCAGTTGGCTGGAGGAAAAGCCTGATGGTGCTCAAACAGGGTGCCAGGCAAGGGATGGCCCAGAACTGGCACTGGTGCCTCTGATTAATCAGTTGGGCTCCTTTTGAAACACACACCCAGGGCTCCAAGAGGTCTCTGGCAAGGGATGAGTTTGATCCCAGTGAGACTGAGTTTGATCCCACAGTTTTTCCAGTGGCAAAGCCAGATCTGCATGAAACCAGGTGGAAGGAAGTACTGAGCCCAAGGGAGCTGTCTCTGGCTGGCCATCTGAAAGCGGGTGCCTGAACGTGAACTTGAGGGCAGTTCAAAAAGTGCTTGGCTCAGTGTTGATGTTGCAGAGAAGGAAAAAATGGGTAGAGGCAAGTCCTCCCCTCGAGCTTCCTGTGTAATTAAAATTTAAACTGGTAGGCACACCATCTGTGTCACTATTAGTTCAATGTATAGTTAGGTTTGGCTTAATCTGGGAAGGCTTCTTGGAGAAGGTGACATTTGGGTTGTTTTCATGGGAGAACAAGATTGTGCTGTGACTGTTAGAAATCCTGGGAAAGCTGGATTTGGGGGATGCTGTATCCTGGGGTAAGGGGCAGAGCTTGCACCATTGTAGGTATGAGGCCTTTGTTTTCTGCTCTGAGCAGGGCATGGGGCTTAACTGGGGAGAGTGAGAGCTGGGGAGAAATGACACCCTCTCTGTCATAGACATGGCTGGGCTCCCTGCTGTTGTTGGTCTGTCTCCTGGCGAGCAGGAGTATCACCGAGGAGGTGTCGGAGTACTGTAGCCACATGATTGGGAGTGGACACCTGCAGTCTCTGCAGCAGCTGGTGAGTGTGTGGCCATGCTTTATTCAACCATCTCCCCACTGGGGAAATGGAGGCAGGAGCCAGGGAGCAGGTCAAAGAGAGGGGTTGCAGGCAGGAATGTAGGGCAGTGCAGGACATTGCTTGTGGTTCCCACTAGCTCCACTGGTGAGACCTTCCGCTAACCTTCCCAAAGTTAGGACCTCTGGTCTCCCCACCCCTGAAGCCCTCTCTGACTCCCCTGCAGGCAGTGAATGGGGTGGGCTTCCATCTGCTTGCCTGGATTAGTGATTGCCCAGGAACATCAACCACTGACTCTGAAAAGGCGTCTGAGGTCTGCTGTCCCTCAACGGGATGCCTCCTCTGGGAAGCTAGCCCAGTCAGCCTGCTGTGTCCAGATGTGCATCCAGCTCCTAGACGCTCATATGTGGCGCCAGTCTGGCATCAGAGCCCCACCCAGATTTGGAGAAGAGGCTCTTGCCTAACTCCCAGCCTTCCACCCTCACTTCCCTGGCTCTTGCCCATGCCCTGAGGCTGGGATAGCCTGCCCATCTGGGCCATGAAGGAGCCCATATCTCATTCTAATCAGGCTCATACATGGTCCAGCCAGGCAGACAGAGGTTGCTGTCATGGCTGCTGTCCTGCTTAGCGGGAATTTACTATCCCTCTGGCCAGCCAGGCAGGGTGGGGCATCACTGGCTAAGGCCAGCTCCAGGGCTTGAGCTTCTGTGGGCTGTGCCTTCTGCCTCTCTTGCCCCAACACTACTTCTCCTGCATGCAGCTGCTATAGCAACCCAAGGGAGACCAAGAGCCCCACATTCTCTGAGGCTTAAAACACAGAACTACTGCTCTGGGGCTAAAGAGGGCTTTAAGGGCATCCAGCTCCAACCCCTACAGATATTCAACCCCCAGAGCTTATCCAGCCTCTGCTTGAATTCCTGCCATGACAGGGTGCTCACTACCTCCCAGGGAAGATTATATCCTGTATTCTCCTATAGACATTTCTTTCTTAAAACAAACTGGCATTTGTCAGATTTCCTGGGGTGATAGGTGGAAGGAGGAGACTTGTTTTTCTACAGCCTTCCCCTGGGCATCTGGAGGGCACTGGTCTTCTAGACTTGACTCTGCCTTTCCACATGTGGTTAGCAGGGATGGTTTTGATACCCTAATCCACCCAGAAGCTAAGGTCCCATTCTGACGAAAGCTGAGTCAAGCTATAGACATCCTGCAATTGCTGGCCTGCTCTCTCTTGCAGATTGACAGTCAGATGGAGACCTCATGCCAAATTGTCTTTCAGTTTGTAGACCAGGAACAGCTGGTAAGTGATGGCTGTTTACAGAATCCATGCACCAGCCTGCATGCACCTCTCAGGGTGGGGTGTGTGGGGCAGCATGAAAGCAGCAGAATGCCTAGAGCTGGAAAGGGTGAGAGTGTGAGGATCTGTGGGTGCTCAATTATGGGGTGCTGGGATCCAGGGCTCAAGTCCCCTGCCATTCCCTTCTCCTGGCCGGATACATAACAAGTGCTCACTAGGTGCCAAGCACTTTTCTGATTTAGTCCTGACAGTACCACGATGTGGTACACAAATACTGTTTATTACCCACAGAGAGGTGAAAGAGCATAGCTAGCAGGTGGTAGAGATCTGATGTGAATCCAGGCAGGTTGGCTGTAGGGCCTGAGGCAAATCAATACTTCTTCCGAGTCTCATGCTTCACTTAAGGATGTCACTTCTCTTCACCAGGCCAATGAGAAGGCAGGGAGGCAGTCCAGCCCTTCCTGGACTTGCCCCATACCTAACCAGCCACCAAGCGTTGGTGGTTCTGCCTCCCAGCATCTCTGGGTTCTGTCTCCTCCATCCCCACCTTCACCCCTCAATCAGTTGCTTGGACAATTTCAGGAGCCTCTTAACTGGTCTCCCTGCTTCCGGTTCACTCCTCATCTCACCACTAGGGGGAATTTTCTGAAACCACAACCTGCTGCCTTTACCTCCCTCACCCAAAAACATCAGGGCCCCCATCACTCCAGAAGAAAGCCAAGGTTGTCTAGTCTGGGTTACACCAGGCCTAGCCATTCTCCACCACACAAGCCTGTCCACCACCTCCCCATTCCCTGCTCCTTCCTGCCTCGCATCCTTTGCACAAGCTCTTCCCAATGACTCTTACGCCTTTCCAACTGCCTCCTCATCATTATTCCACATCTATTCATCTTTATGCCTCATGCAAAACTGCTGTGGTACCCAGAAGTTGCCCCTGTCTCTGAGCTTCCACATACCGGACCCATGTGCACCTCTGTTAGGACTGGAGAACACCTCATGGTCCAAACAATAACCTCAGTATTTTATTCACTCACTCGCTTGCTCTAACGCTCATGCCTTAACCAGCATTTTCTAAGAACCTACTGGACTGGCTGCTGGGGGTAGGGAGCTAAAGCAGAGTCTGTCTTCAAGGCAATCACCAGCTCTTTCGGGAGGCAAAACACAGAGGTTATTCTTTGGACCATGAGATAATCTTCAGCACCCTTATGTCCCAGAGGATTTGAAGGGGCCATATGGTAAAAGACTTGTGAAAGCAAGCCAAGAGGGGCCAAAAAAAAGGCGGGGTGGGAGAGTTCCCTGGGGTCCACCTTCCCCATGTACATCCATCCTGATTAAAGCCTCATATTCTAGAAACCCAGAGAACTCTCTAATCAGAATCCACGTTTCCTTCACTGTAGCCCAATCTCCAATAGTGCTAGATCCCAAAGAGAGAGAGACGGGCAAGCCGAGGGCAGCATTCTCCTTGTTGCTGGCGTGGTGTGGTCCTTCCCCGGGAGCAGGAGGAAGCCACGCTGCAGCCTTCCGTCTACCTGGGGTTGGGGGTTCCCAGGCCACAGTGGCCAGGCCATAAGCCCAGCTTGCTGTTTTTCAGAAAGATCAGGTGTGCTACCTTAAGAAGGCATTTCTCCTGATACAAGACATAATGGAGGACACCATGCGCTTCAGAGACAACACCCCCAATGCCATCGCCGTCACGCAGCTGCAGGAACTCTCTTTGAGGCTGAACAGCTGCTTTACCACGGATTATGAGGAGCATGACAAGGTAGGAGAGCCCTGGGGCCAAGAGCACTGAGTGAGGGCAGAGGCGGCTGTGGAGGTGCTGCTCTATCCACAGGCAGAGAGTACGTTCGCTCACCTCGCCTCACGCCATTGCCTGCTCACTGTCATTCATGTGTCATGCCCCCAACCTTTACTGGGCAGGAGGCACAAGGCATCATGCTGGATCCTGACGATGTCACTGTGAGCAACAAATACCTGGTGTTGCCTCATGTAGCTTATAGTCAAGTGAGGTTGGCAGCTGTTAAACAAACCATGACACCAGTAAACAGAATTGCAAACTATAAGGACTGTTCATTCCAACAGCAAGCAGTTATTGAGTGCCCATTGTGTACCAGATACTGTTCTAGACGCCAGGAAACAGCTGTGATCAAAACAGACAAAAATCCCTACATTCCCGGAGCTTACATTTGGGGGTGGTGGTGAGACAGTTAACAAAATATATAAGTAAAATATACAATATGTAGCATGGCAGTAACTGCGTTGGAGAAGAGTAAACCAGGGATGAGATGACCCGAAGGAGGTGGAGGAGCGAGCTGGGAACAAGAAGCTTGTAGGGCTCAGGGAGCGCAACGGGAACTCGGACTTCCATGGAGTTGGGGAAGAAGAGATAAGGAAGGCTTTGCAGGGCTCAGGGAAAGCAACGGGGAATCTGCATCTTAAGCAGCTGTCCCGCTGATGGTTATGACCCTCTCGGATATTCACCTGTAGACAGATGTGAATGCTGAGGTGCAGGCTCCAGGAGGGAGGGCGGGTGAAGCTGGAGGAGCTAACCCCCAGCAAGTCTCCCAAGAAGACGGACTTCCACGGAGTTGGGGAAATAGAGACAAAGAAGGCTTCTGAGTCAGCAAATATTAATCTGAGCTCCAAAGATGAGTAAGAGTTGAAAGCAACAAGGCTAGAAGAACATTCTGGAACAGGAAAAGCTATGCACAAAGCCCTAAGGTGATCAAACAGGAAAGTGCACATTCAGGGACCCAAAGGGTTATCAGCACGGCCAGAGTGTGGGAAGTGAAGGAGGGAGAGGAGAGATGGTAGGAGCCAGATCATTTGTGGTCCTGGAGGTGTGGGATTTTGTCTTAAGTGTGAGGAAAGCCACTGTGAACAGGCACGTGGCTTAATTTCAGGTTATAAGACTGACCTGGTTGCTGTGTGGAGCATAAACCATAGGGGGCAGGAAGGGAGGCTGAGAGACCAGCAGAAGGTGAGAGTCTAGGCTAGACATATTGGCGGCTTGGACCAGGGTGGTACAGCGGAGGTGGAGGCAAGTGGACTGGACATGGGTGTGGGGGCAGAATCAACAAGACTTGGCATGTGCAGTGGATGTGAGAGGCTGAGGGAAAGGAAGAGCCAAGGATGGTTTTTGTCTTGAGCACCTGAATATTCCAATGATGCTGACATGGGGACGATCCGTGGGCAGAGCAGGTTTGAGGCAAGACGGGAGTTCCGTCTGGGGCACAGCAGACGTGAGGTGCTCATGAGATGGTGAGCGGAGACACTGAGCAGGCCGCCGGACATGTGGGCTTTCAGTGTGACCGGTGATGCACAGATCTCAGAGGCATGGGTGTGTGGCTCCTCTGTGAAGCCATGGGGCTGGACAGCACTGCCCACTGTGAGGAGAGAAGCAGGCCCAGGAACCCAGCATTTGGAGGGCAGGCGGAGGATGGGGACCCGGCAAGGAGCAGCCTAAAGTTGGGAGGGAAAGAAGGAGAGTGCAGAGCCGGGACACTGGGTTCCGGCATGGAAAAAGTGATGTGACTTCATAAAGAAGGGTTGAGAACTCAAGCAAGGTGAGGGCTGGAATTGTCCATCGGACTTGGCAATGCGTCACAGGTGCCAGATCAGCGTGAATAGAAAGAGAGGAAGTAGAGGCACCGCTGCGGAAGAACTTGAATCCTAGTGGGGGCAGAAAACGAGATGCAGCTAGAGGGGGTGTATGATTGAAGGAGAACTTTTTTTTTTTGAGACAGGGTCTCATTCTGTCACCCAGGCTGAAGTTCAGAGGCACAATCACGACCCACTGCAACCTCAACCTCCCAGGCTCAATTGATCCTCTGACCTCAGTCTCCTGAGTAGCTGGGACAACAGGCACACCCCACGATGCCTAGCTATTTTTTGTAGAGATAGTCTTTTGCCATGTTGCCCAGGCTGATCTCAAACTCCCAGGCTCAAGTAATCTCTCTGCCTTTGCCAAAGTGCTGGGATTATTGATGTGAGTTACTGTACCTGGCCAGGAAAAAATATTTTAATAAGAGAGATATTAAATCTGCAGTTTTCCAACATTAAGATTCCTAAGAGTCACTTGGGGAATGTGTTGAAATGCGTATTCCCAGGACACAACCCTAGAGAGCCTGGTACACTGCAGGGCTGGCCACGGTGGCTCACACCTGTAATTCCAGCACTTTGGGAGGCCAAGGCAGGTGGATCACCTGAGGTCCAGAGTTTGAAACCAGTCTGGTCAACATGGTGAAACCCATCTCTACTAAAAATACTAAAATTAGCTGGGCATGGTGGCACATGCCTGTAATCTCAGCTACTCAGGAGGCTGAGGCAGGAGAATCGCTTGAACCCAGGAGGTGGAGTTTGCAGTGAGCTGAGATTGTGCCGCTGCACTCCAGCCTAGCTGACAAGAATGAGACTCTGTCTCAAAAAAAAAAAAAACCGAAACAGAGTGACCCCAGGAATCTGCATCTTAAGCAGCTGTCCACTGATGGCTATGACCCCTTGGATATTCACCAGTAGACAGGTGTGAATGCTGAGGGGCAGGCTCCAGGAGGGAGAGGCAGGTGAAGCTGGAGGAGCTAGCCCCCAGCAAGTCTCCCTAGAAGACAGAGGAGGGATTTGGAGCTCCTGAGGATGAAAGGCACGTCCTCCCTTGAGACAGGTGGGTATCAGGGAGGGCTTTCTGTCGGAGGACTCCTGTGTTCTCTGTGAAGTATGAGGTGGGCTGGGAGGGAGGCAGGTTTATGAAGAAAGAGGCAAGAGAGCCAACTCACCTTCCTTACGGCAGCCCTGGGGAGAGCCTGGAAGAAGTTATTGTTTTGAATTTATAGATGAGAAAATTAGCCCAAACTGGCTGTTTATTTGGTCACTGGCACCTGGCTGGTGAGTGATGGAGCTAAGCCCAGTCTTGTCATTCATACGTCTAGCTGGTGAACATTTCTTAAGGGCCGACTGTGCACAGGCCAGGGGGATGTGCTGATGCCTTCAAGGACTTCACAGCCTAGTGAAGCCCATGGTTCTCCCCTGTGAAGCTCAGTTTAAGGGAAAACTTGGTATTTGCGATTCTGTGGCAGTTAGGCCCTGGATGAAGCTGTGGGCATGGGTGGCATGGCCTGGTAGGAAAGGAGAGGTGGGTCTGGGAGTGAGCCCTGAGGGATGGCAGCATTTGGACATCAGGAGAAGAGGAGCTTGGTAAGGAGACGAAAGGGGCAGCTTGAGAGGTGGAAGAAGACCTAGGATGGTGCAGCTTCTCAGATCTCTGGCAAGTGTAGGAAGCCTGGGTCTCTTGAGCAGCACAGAAGACAGCGCTGGGACCTCCTCAGCCCTCCCTCCAAGACACACCAATGCCAGCAAAGGACCTGCATCCCTGGCGGCTGCCCTGTTTCCTTTGCCTCACTACAGCTAGATGATTTTTCTCAAACTCAACTCTTATCGTGCCACCGCCCACCTCCCTAACACCCCTTCAGGTGTTTTCTGTTTGCTCTGTGGACAATACTAAAATATCTGGGCTTGGCCCTTGAGGCCCTCAAGACCTGCCCTTGCTAACTTCTCTACACTTAAATCTCTTGTCACACCCCTCCTTGGTGGCAGTGCTGCAGCCATGACAGCTTTCTCTTGGTCTGTGGACTTTTCCTGCACTTCCTTGCCTCAGGACTTTGCACATGCAGCTCTTGCAGGCTGGACAGCTCTCTCCAATCCCATCTCTTTCTTGCTCATCTTTTAGTTGATTCCTCGGGAAATTCTCCCTGGACCTGTTTAGTTCCCCTTGTTGCACACCATCGGATGGCCCAGTACTTTTTCACAGGACTCACTGCACTTGTAAGAATGTGTTTAGTCCCTGCTGGACTCAGTGTCCAACTCAGTCAGGAACCACCTCTCTCTTGTTCATTGCATGATTCCCAGGTAATTACCATATGCCTGGCACATAAACATGTGTTGAATGGGTCCGTGAATGAACGACATATCTCATAACCTCAGGACTCGATCTGCTGCAAACGGGAAAGGGGAGGGAGGAAACAAAATGGAAAAAGAAGACAGATGTGAAAAAGGCCAAGGGAATCTGGCAGACAAGATGGAGACATGGGGCCAATGGTCATGCTCACGAAAGGGGGCCCTGATCTCCTTCCAGGCCTGCGTCCGAACTTTCTATGAGACACCTCTCCAGTTGCTGGAGAAGGTCAGGAATGTCTTTAATGAAATAAAGAATCTCCTTGACGAGGACTGGAATATTTTCAGCAAGAACTGCAACGACAGCTTTGCTGCATGCTTCAGCCAAGGTAAGCATGGAAGGCGCCGGCAAGTGTGCGGGGGTGGTGCATATGGGGCGGGGACTGGGCGGCGAGGTGTGAAGCTGGGGGGACCCCTGGGGAGGCAGCCTGTCTTCTACTTGTGTCCCCGTGTGTATGAATGTGCTTGTTCCATGTACATATGTGGCTTCATGTACCTCTGGTCCTGGGCACATGTCTTTTCTGGCATGTGTGTGCATGTACACCTACAATATGTCTGCATGTGGCGGTGTCAAGTAGGAGCATGCTGGTGCCTTGAGATTAGGGAGTGGAAATGGGAGCCTGCCTTGGGAGCCCTGTAGGTATGGAAGCTTTCCCCACTGGTTCTGCAGGCTGGCTGAACGTGTGGGGGGTTCTGTGGAGACAGCTGACACCCATCTGGGAGTCAGGGCCCTTGCACCAGGAGCTCTGCTGAGAATCACCAGGACACCCTGGCTCCAGAAGTCCCCAGGATGCCTTGGGCGTTCCCTCAAGGGACAAGGCTGGATTTGACGTCTGAGCATCATTCGAACTCCCAGGGCTGGCTCAGCTGCATACATGTGTACACTGCGTGTCCTCGTCTCTGCGTCCCGCACCACATGTGCCCTTCTACCTTCAACCTTGCTTCTCAAGGCAGCGTCTAGGGCCCTGCAACCTGCCAGTGGCCAAGTCCAGTCTCGTTGCTTCAATCCCAAGGCCTCAAGCCTTGGCTGCATTCTAGCCCCAGCCCGTTCCTGCCTGTGGCTCCTGGCTATGCATGACACCAGTGTCTTTGGGGCTTGAGGTTGTCTTGTGTTGGTCCGGAAGGCAACTGTTCAACTTCCTGGCCGGGCTGCTGCTCACCCCTAGCTTGGCCTGTGGCCGGCGGGAACCCCGGCACGGTCTGTTCTCTTGTCTTCCTTCTCCCCCACCCCCAGTGTGTGCATCTCAACCCTGCTCTTTGTCTCTGCCCATGAGACCCTGCATACGGCACCTTCCCTGTGTCATAAGCGCCCACTCTAGTCCCATCCTCTTCTCAGCCCAAGGGCTGAGCTAGGAGATGAGGCTCCCCAGACTCATATCCCCCTCTTGCCCCACTCTGGGAAAGCTGTGCTGGATGCTAGTGACTCTATCTTCTCCCCATCTTTCTCTCTCCCTCTCTCTATGGTTCTTTCAGATGTGGTGACCGAGCCTGATTGCAACTGCCTGTACCCCAAAGCCATCCCTAGCAGTGACCTGGCCTCTGTCTCCCCTCATCAGCCCCTCGCCCCCTCCCCGGCCCCTAGGGCTGGCTTGACCTGGGATGACTCTGAGGGCAGCTCCCACTTGCCTGGCGAGCAGCCCCTGCACACGGTGGACCCAGACAGTGCCAAGGAGCGACCACCCAGGAACACCTGCCAGAGCCTTGAGCCGCCAGAGACCCCAGTTATCAAGGACGGGACCATCAGTGGCTCACCACAGCCTGACCCCTCTGTCGGGGCCTTCAACCCCAGGATGGAGGATATTCTTGACTCTGCATTGGGTACTAACTGGGCCCCAGAAGAAGCCTCTGGAGAGCCCAGTGAGAGTCCTGTCCCCCAAGGGACAGAGCTTTCCCCCTCCAGGCCAGGAGGGGACAGCATGCAGGCAGAGCCCTCCAGACCCAGCAACTTCTCAGCATCTTTTCCACTCCCTGCATCAGCAAACGGCCAACAGCTGGCAGATGTAACTGGTACCGCCTTGCCCAGAGTGGAGCCCGTGAGGCCCACTGACCAGGACTGGAATCACACCCCCCAGAAGACAGACCGTCCATCTTCCCTGCTCAGAGACCCCCCGGAACCAGGCTCTCCCAGGATTTCATCACCACGCCCCCAAGGCTCCAGCAACCCCTCCACCCTCTCTGCTCAGCCACGGCTTTCCAGAAAACACCCCTGGGGCAGCGTGCTGTCCCTTAAGGGGCTAGAGAGCAGGAGGAGCACCAGGGATCGGAGGAGCCCGGCAGAGCTGGAAGGAGGACCAGCAAGTGACGGGGCAGCCAGGCCCCTGGCCCGTTTTAACTCTGTTCCTTTGACTGACACAGGCCATGAGAGGCAGCCCAAGGAAACTTCCAGCCTGCAGCTCCTGAAGCCTGTCTTCGGCCTGCTGGTGCCCAGCGTCACCTTGGTCTTGCTGGCTGTCGGCGGCCTCTTGTTCTACAGGCGGAGGCGGCGGGTGAGCAAGTCTCCATGAGGAAGAAGAGGCAGTCCCTTAGGGCAGGGGCAGAGGCTGGTGAGGGTGCTGGTCGGGGGACAGCTTGGGCATGGCCTGGGCTCTTCAGATGCAGAGAGATAGGAGCTGGCTCAGCAGAGAGGATCAGAGGTGGAAACGGAGAGCTGCTTTGAGAATTGGGAAGGCTAAGCTATAAGGTCAACGGGAAGGGACTGGAGCAGCAGGGAGTGGGAGAGAATATTCTTGGGCTGACAGCAGGATGACAACCAGACAGTCAGGGAGCTGGAGGAGGAGAGCAACGCTGTGTTACTGTGTCAGGGTGGGCCCCGAGTGGGGGTTCTGCAGAGCCTGGGGCAGAAGGACCCAGAGGAAACAGCCTGCAAGGGCGTGGGGAGAGGAGAGGGGGCACCATCAGCAGAGAGACCTCACAAATCTCCCTCGGGCCTCTGACTGATCCCCACTTTCAGGTAGCTGGGAGGACTCTTGCAACTCTCTCATTAATACCTGGGGCAGCCCTTACTGGGGATGGGGTCACCCCCATCTCCATCCTTCCCCAACTCCTCAGTGAGATGCTCTTTGCTGTTCTCAGAGCCGCCTAGAGCCTCAGAGAGTGGATTCTCCCTTGGAGCAGCCAGAGGGCAGGTGAGAGCTTGTGGTGGGGCTCTGGGAGGCACTGAGGACCTGGCTTGGGATCTGTTTCCCCTCTTGGTGGTGGGGCTCTCCCACTGGCTCTGAGGAAACGGAGCTATGGAACAGGATGTGGGTAGAGAAGAAGGGCTCCCTCCTTTCCCAGACATCTGGGCTTTTTCCTGATTTCTCCTTAGAGTTAGGCAGTTCTGGGTCTTTTCAATCTGAGAGGGCCTAGAGCATGTGTGGGGCTTAGGGGTAAACTACAGGGTCGCGGGTCCCCTTACTGCCCTGCTTCTGCTGATGTCTAATGCCAGACCTGTGCTCTGCCTGCAGCCCCCTGACACAGGATGAAGACAGACAGGTGGAACTGCCGGTGTAGAGGGAGCTCTAAGGTAAGATTCTGATTTTGATCTCCACTCCTAAAACTTAGCTACACCCTGTTCCAGTCACCCTCACCTGCTGGTGACACCAATTCCCCTGAGGCCCCCACACTGACTCCCTTTCCTCTGGGTGATCCAGTTCCCTTTCCAGCTAGGTCCAGCCACCTCTCCTTTCCAGGTCCTCAGCTATTCCTCTACCCCTCCATTCCATCCACCCTGCTGAGGCCAGAGACTGTTACCTCTGCACTGGGCTTCTGGTGTTGCTGCCACCATTAACCCCAGAGCAACCACACCCCCCTTCTTCAAATGTGGCTTTTATGAGGTTTTTACCCCCCTGGGGAATCTTCAGTAGCTCTGCGTGGCAGCCACTGCAAGCCCTACATTCTTAGCTTGGCTGCCAAGCCCCTCTGACAGCAGTGGCTTGCCAGGTCACTCCCCCATCTGGCCCTCCTCCCAAGCCAAGGTCAGTCCTGCTTCCTTGCTTTTAGGATCATGTTGACAGAGAACCTGAATCTTGGAAGGGCTCTCAGGGGTCATTTGGCCCTGGGTTCCACCCCAAAGGGGCTGCCCCTCTCCATGTCCCCTACAGGGAGCCAGCCAGCTGCCTGTCACACACTCCCAGTTCCAGGCCAGCCCCGTGCTAGCCACGGCCCATGCCATCTTCCAGTCAGACTGGGAGAAACATCTTCCTCGTTCAAGGCAAAACTGGCTTCCCTGCCCCCTCTATACTGGTCTTCCCTCCTTTCCCATTGAAAGCCCTCAGATATTTAAGTCAGGTATCCATGTCCCCTTTGAGAATTCTCTAAGCCAAGTGTAGCCAAGTCCCTCAAACGTTCCTTATATGATATGGTTTTCAGACCCCTCACCATCCTGGACACACTCGTTTGTCAATGTCCCTCTGAAAATGTGGCACCCAGCCCCGGACACAGTACTCCAGATGTTGTCTGACCAGCTCAGAGTACAGTGGGACTCTTACCTTCCTTGATATGGACAGTATTCTTCTATTCGTGCAGATTAACATTGCGTTAGCTTTTTTCTTAACAACTGCATCATACTGTTATATGATGAGCTTGCAGTCTATTAAAACCCCTAGTTTCATTTCCCATAAATCTCTGTCAAGCCAGACCTTCTCTACCCTGTACTTGGACAACTTAACTTTTTTAACCAAAGTACAGTTTATTTCACCTTTGTTAAAGCCACCTTGTTGGTTTCTGCCATCACCCGAGCCTACTGAAGCTGTTTGAAATCCCAATTCTGTCATCTTCATAGCCATCCCAGCTGTGGCTCCTGCACATTGACGAGTGGCTGCCGTTCTCCTTGCCCATGTTGTTGATGTAGCTGTGACCCTACTGTTCCTCACCCCGGCCCCCAACCCTAGCTGGCCCACATCTTCCCCCTCCCACCCAAGCCCACAGCCACCCAATAGGAAGCCTTCCTGGATTCTCCACAACTTGTGACTGCTCCTTTCAGTCATGCCCCTCCTGCCCTTTTGTATTTGGCTGATAGTATATTAATTTGCACTTATTTGAATGTTGTGTTCATATTTTTTTAAATCTTATTTTATGTGTGTATGTACATTCCACATCCCTAAGATTGTAAGCCCCTTGAGGGCAGGGACCATCTTCCACTTTTTTTGCGTTTCTTTGTCCATCCTGGGTTCTACTACAGAGAAGGCCTTTCCATATTTGCCAAACATGCAATAAATATTGACTGAGTGCTTCAGGGCTGACTCACGGACTGACCCTGGCCAGCTGTCTCTAACTGACCAGTCTCTAGCTGACCAGTTAACCAGCTACCTCACTGACTCTGGCTGACTGGTTGACCAGCTGGCTGGGTGACTGACTAACCAACCAACCATCTGGTAACTGCCTAACTGCCCAGCTGTTGCTTGGGGAGCCCATTGACCAACTGACTGGCTGATTGCCTGACTGACTGGTTGGTTGGCTGACTAGCTGGGGTGGCCCATTCAAGTTTCCAGTCACAACCTTTACCAAGTGCAAGCCAGTGCCACAGGGCTCTCCCATGTGTGGAGTGACAGGTCTGGGCCCCTTCTAGAGAGACAGGGAATTTGGCAAATGCTCAAAACCAGGGAACCTATTTAGACAAGAGCCAGCAGTAACAACATATCTGGAATCCTGGGGTCTGCCTTGTCAGTGGGGTGGGCTAAGATGGGTGAATGGGTCAGCTGGGGCACTGGAAAGACTGTGAAATGACCCAGGCCTCCTCAGAACTGGTGGCTGGTGGCTCAGTGCCACACTACCCTCCCCACTGGTCGCCACCCTCCCAGACACCCCGCCATGGTCTTGGCTCTCTGTCCCATCCCTCTACCCACCAACCCTCCTTTCCCCACTTGCTTATTCTCAGTCCTGTCCCAAGTATTCCTCTTCTTCTTCTCAATATTTCACTTGGAGAGGGAACCCAGGGCAGGGACTACATCCAGACCCCACTTGGCTCAGCAGGTCCAGCCCTGAAGTGGTCTCCAGGCCAGGCACCAGTGGTCTTGGAGAGACTGAGTGCCAGCCCCTGGACTGACTGCTGCTCTGATGAGAGAAGTGAGAGAGGGAAGCATAGAGGCAGAGACTGAGATAGGGACTTGGAGCCACAGAAAATGCAGACAGCAGCCCCTCATCCCTACGCAGCTGGGAGATGGGGCAGCAGGCTGGAACTCGCCCACCAGGTCCTTCTCTCCTCCTGGGCCTTAGCAGGGCCTGTGTCCTGACTGTACCCAGAATGGCTCATGTCCAGTTTATGGTTCCCCTTCTTGCCCTCCAGAGCATGGGAATGGGCAGGGAGCCAGAGGCTGTGGTTCCATCTTTCCTCCTTACCCAGTATGGCCTATGGATGTTGGGAGGGAGGCTCCACACAAAGTCCAAAGTCAAAAACTGTTGGATGGGATCCAGGGGATTTCTGCTCTGGGAACAAAGTGTCCTAAGGATGCTGGGCAAGAGGACAAGGATGCGTGTGGAGGGGGAGAGGACAAGGCCCTGACTCCCACGGGTGATGCAGGAGGCAAAGCCCTCGGCCCATCCAGGAGGGGCTGGGTTGCTTAGGGGTCAGCATGCCAAATGGCAGTGTGGGAATTTCCTTGTCCCAGCACTATCTCTAGACTTGTCCTCTCTGGCCCTGTTCTTCCTCTTCAACTAGCTCCACCCTATTGTCTTGGACATCATCTTTGATGCTCCTCTCTGATGAATGGTGTGGAGGTAGAAGTGAAAGATTCTTCTTTGCTAGTGTTAGCAGGAATAACCCTTTGCTCACTGGACCAAGGTCAATGAGATGACTCTGCCTGAGGAGGGTCCAAGTGCCCCATCCCTCCATGTCGCAGCTGTCTTCTTGAGCAGTAACCCTCTTCCCAGCCCTGCCCAGACCTCTCCCGGGGCTCCGTTATCTTCCACTGGGGCCCCTGGTTCCCCAGGAGGAGGTAGGAGGTGAGGCCAGTCTGGCCAGAGGCCTGGGCTGGTGCCAGAGAAAGCCGCCCAGTCTCTCTGTGGCGTCTGAAAAGGCCAGGGAAGGGAGGAAAGGAAGTCCCGCCTGCAGCACCGCCAGGAGCCCACAGGAATGCCACGCCTCCCAACCCATGTCCTCAGTGACCCTCCCCGCACTCCCACTCTGCTGACTAGCCTTTCTTTCTCTCCCACAGCTGGATGCACAGGACAGTCTCTCCATGGGAGGAGACATTACGGGGCATCCACCACCTGGAATGTGGTCTGCCCTCCATCAGAGCTCCTGCCTGCCAGGACTGGACCAGAGCAGCCAGGCCGGGGCCCCTCTGCCTCAACCCACAGACCCTTGACTGAGTGAGAGAGGCCAGAGGGTGCTCCCCGTGCTGCCACTATTTATTGTGGGCCCTGGAGGCTCCCATGGGCTTGAGCCGGCGGGTCCGGCTCAGAACCCTCTTCTCTCAGGGGCTGCACCCTCCTCTCACCCCCCTCTAGGTCAGCACCTGGGCCAGGGACCCACCAGCCTGTGGCTTGTGGGAGAGCATGGTGGATGCTAAGGAGTGGAAGAACCCTGCACCCAGAGGACCCGCCTAGTGCCAAGGGATCCCAGCCTGGACAGGCAGGAACCTGTCTCCAGAGAGAGGATTCTGAAGTTTGTGGGGCGGGCCGCGTCAGCCTGATTTCCCGTAAAGGTGTGCAGCCTGAGAGACGGGAAGAGGAGGCCTCTGGACCTGCTGGTCTGCACTGACAGCCTGAGGGGTCTACACCCTCAGCTCACCTAAGTGCCCTGTATTGGTTGCCAGGCGCAGAGGGGAGGCCAGCCCTGCCCTCAGGACCTGCCTGACCTGCCAAAGATGCCAAGAGGGGGATCAAGGCCTGGCCTCTGCGTCTCCTCCCTCCAGCACCTGCCAGAGCTTCTCTGGGAGGCCAAGCAGAGGCTCCCCTCATGAAGGACGCCATTGCACTGTGAACACTGAACCTGCCTGCTGAAGCCTGCCTCCATCGATCCATGAGCCAGCATCCATCCATCCTCCACTCCCCAGCCTCTTCCCAGTCTCCGGCACTGAGCTGGTCTCACCAGTTGACTGGGGGAGCCCCTCCGCCCTGACCTTCTCCTGACCTGGCCTTTGACTCCCCGGGGTGGAGTGGGGTGGGACAGCCGCCTGGACTGCCAGCCAGAGCCGGTCTTTAGGCTGTGTTGTTTGCCCAGGTTTCTGCATCTTGCACTTTGATATTCCCAAGAGGGAAGGGACTAGTGGGAGAGAGCCAGGGAGGGGAGGGCACCGACAGAGAGGCTACAGGGTGAGTGCTGACTGAAGATGGCCTTTGAAATATAGGTATACCCCTGAGGCCAGGGGAGGGTCTGCACTCCCAGCCCAGGGTCCTTTCCTGCTGCCCCAGGAGCCTGGAGCCGAGCAGGTTGTCCCTGTCAGGAGCCCTGGGCTGGGTTGCATCCTGGCCCGACCTGCCTGGCACCCAGCTCCCATCCTCTTCTTGCCCTTCTTGCTTCCTGACCTCAGTGGGCAGTGATGACCTCCAGCCCTCATCCAGCCCCTCTACCATCACCTCTATCCAGGAAAGCCAGGGTGGGAGAGGAACCAGGAGATCCAGGCCTCAGCTTCCAGTGCTTGGAGGGCCTCCACTTCATGGCCAGCCCATGGTGGTGGCTCTGAGATCTAGCCAACGGGCGACAGGGCTGCCAGTTGCCCCTTGGTTCCTTCGTACTGCTGTGTGCCTTCTCTCCTGCGGCCCTGGGCCCTCCACTGAGACCCTGCCCTACCTGGGCATGCCGTGGGGCCCATGGCCTTCCCTTCCTGCCCAGGAAAGTGAGGGTCTTCTGGCCCCACCTCCCCTGCCCTGATGCTGACAACTGAGGGAAGGCAGTGAACTTGCACGTGGGGCTTAGCCTTCTCATCACAGCCTCTATATTTGATGCTAGAAAACACATATTTTTAAATGGAAGAAAAAAACAAAAAAAGGCACTCCTTCCTCATCCCTCTACCTTAAACATATAATATTTTAAAGGCCAAAAAAGCAATCCAACCCATTGCAGAAGCTCTTTGTTTGCTCTTGGTGGCATCAGAGAACAGGGAGCCCCAGAGCCACCTCTGGTGTCTCCCCAGGCTACCTGCTCAGGAACCCCTTCTGTTCTCTGAGAAGCCAAGAGGGGACATTGGCTCCCGTACTGTGAGATTTTGTTTTTATACTTGGAAGTGGTGAATTATTTTATATAAAGTCATTTAAATATCTATTTAAAAAAATAGAAAGCTGCTTATATATTTAATAATAAAAGAAGTGCACAAGCTGCCATATGAGTCATTGGAAAAGTTGCTTTTGGGGTGTGGGTGGCAAAAATCAGGGTGGGTAGGCAGCAGTTGCTGGATGAACCCCAGCTTAGAGAGCCTTATTCCACAGTACACAGGGGAGGAGGATTATCTCCAAGTTTCAGTCTTGTTACCAAAACCTCCTGTATTATTGCTGTTCCAAACACATCCATCTGCATATCTGCTCCTAGGAAAAAAGGGCAGAAAGTGGCCAAACCTCAGGCCTGTTCACCAGCCCCTGCTCTAGCCTAGCCTAGCCCAGCCTGGGCAAATGGCTGGTTGGGCTCTGGCCAAGGGACCCCGGGTCCTGCGAGGATAAGGGTCCTTGACTGCTGAGCCCTGCTGGCCAGGGCAGAGGGAGCTGGCTAGGTCCTTGCAGGCTCTGAGATGAATGAGTCCTGTCTCCAGGCTGGGAAGTGAATGTGGCTAGCAGGGCTCTCCCCTGCTAGCCAGGAGTCTGTGTGAGGGCCCTCATTAGGGCTCGACCTTCCTACTGGAGCTGGAGAGGAGACTGAGGATGTGGCTTTCCATGGGGAGAGGGGTGTTAGGACTGGCTAGAGCAGTTGAAGGCCCGAACACACATCCCGGGCAAAGCTATGACAAGCGGGGCCTCCCCATCCCTGAGGGTGTGGTAGACAGCTTCAGATCAGTGGTTCCCAACACTGGCTCATCGGAGCATCACTTGGGTTATTTAAAAAAAATACTGATCCCCAAGCCCCAACCTAGATCAACAGAATCAGACTCTTAGGAGTGAGGTTCAGGCACCAGACATCAGAACTTTTTTATTTTTTATTTTTGAGACAGAATCTTGCTCTGTCAGCAGGCTGGAGCGCAGTGGCGTGATCTCGGCTCACTGGAACTTCCACCTCCCAGGTTCAAGTGATTCCCTGCCTCAGCCTCCTGAGTAGCAGGGACTATAGGCACGTGCCACCGTGCCCTGCTAACTTTTTTGTTTTTTAGTAGAGATGGGGTTTCAGCATGTTGGCCAGGATGGTCTGAATCTCCTGACCTCATGATCAGCCTGCCTCAGCCTCCCAAAGTGTTGAGATTACAGCCATGAGCCACCGTGCCCAACCTAGAACTTTTAAAAGACATCTCAAGTGATTCAAATGTGATCCAGGGTAAGAAGTATCTATAACTGCACTGTCAGGTAGGGCGGCTATTTAAGTTTAAATTAATTAGAATGAAGTAAAAGTAAACATTCAGTTCCTTAGCTACGCTATCCACGTTTCAAGGCCTCAGTAACTACATGTGGTTTCCATGCTTGACAGCACAGAAACACAACATTTGCATCACTCCGGAAATTCTACTGGACAGTGCTATCCCAAAGATTAGGTCCCTGGACTTAGGAACCAAGGTTACAGGGCCAAGATTGGCATCAAGTAAATCTGGCCAGGGCTAAGTGTTCAGGTGTCTCAGTCACCCCTTTCTGTGGCCTCACTCCTGCCACCCTGTCCCTTGTCATTTCTCTTAAGATGGCTCTTCCCTTTCTATCAAAAGAGCCCAGAAAAGATTTTTGAAGAAACTTACATTTTATTCTTCAAGGCCCAACTAAAAAAAGTCCTCCTCTGAGAAGCTTCCCAGCCTGATTAGAGCTCCTGAGGCCCCCCCAGTTCAATTCTTTCCTCCCCTGTGCTCCTACAGATTTGGAATTTGGGGCCTGTGTGTCTGTCTGTCCCACCAGCCCATGATCAGTGGCAGACACTGCTACATCCCTCCTTTTATTCAAGGGGGATGTGCGCCTAGTGCCCTCGTGCCTAAGAGTATCTGGCACACGGTAGGGCTCAGTAATTATGTGCCAAAGGCTGGTACTGAAAGCATGAACAAAGGCATTGTAATGCAAATTCTGACCAGACATAACGGGCAGCCTTTTCTAGAGGCCTTACTGGTGTTACCAAATGAGATTAGTATCTAAAAACTGCCATTCAATGGCCAAGCAGAAGGAGTCTCAGCAGAAGAGTCTTCCTGGCTTCTGACGGAGATGGGGCAAGGTTAGAGCCCTATCTGATCAGTGGGCCGTGGTAGATGGAATGTACATTTCAAAGCATCTAAGCAAGGATTGGTGATGCGGAGAGCAAAAAACCCCTTCCCCTTAGCTGCCCTTCCAGAGTCCCCAGAAAGACGTGAGAATCTCAGCAGGCCCTTCCTGGGCTTCATGTGCTGCAGGGGCTGCTTGGGAAGCACCATACCTAGAGAGCAAAATTCACTTTGAATTGAGAACCAGAGAACTGGCTAGGCATGGTGGCTCATATCTGTAACTCCAGCACTTTGATGGGGCTGGGGTGGGAGGATCACCTGAGTGCAGGAGTTTGAGATCAGCATGGCCAACATAATGAGACCCATTTCTACAAACAAATAATCAGCCAGATGCAGTGGCACACAGCAGTAGTCCCAGCGACGTGGGAGACTGAGGTGGGAGGAGAGCTGGAGCCGGGAGGCTGAGGCTGTAGTCAGCCCTGATTGTGCCACTGCATTCCAGCCTGGGAAAGGAAGCAAGACCCTGTCTCTAAAAAACCCAAAACCAAAAAACAACAGAACGTACGTTCTTGGCTTGAATCTCTCATTGGCTCTTACTGTTTGACCTTGAGTGTTTAACCTCTCTGAGCCTCACATTTCCCCTCATCTATAGAACTAGTCCAGGTATACCTAGACTGCAGTTCAGGTGAAATGACAAACCCAAAAGCACCTTGTGGCTTCCAAAGGGCTGCCCCTGAATAAAGTGTGTACTGAGGCTGTGCCTGCCAGCTGGTCTGACAGTGCCTAAGCCGAACAGATCGCTCCCCTCTGGGCAAGGCTTGGGGGGCCAGCATGCTGCCAGGGCCTGACTGTTCTCAGAGGAAGGTGGCAGAGCCGGGTGCTTCCCACAGGGACGAGGAGTTAGAGATCCTGTGGCTCAGGGATTTCTGGCCGACGAGAAGAGCCAGGTAGAATACTGGAGTGGAAAGCGGCCTTGGGTTGCTACGGGTGCCGGTGAGCAGGGTCAGGAACTCTGGCTTGGACTGTATAAGCAGAGGCCACAGCCAAACCCCAAACCACCATCCGGCCAGAGACAGGAAAGTGAATCAGAGGCGACCAGGAAGAAGCCTGAGGTTAACCTCGTGCAGACTGTGGCCCGTGGCAAGGAAGGGGTTGGTGGGAGGACTAGATGTGGGTCCTGGGTGAGTGTCCAAAGACCCCTTGAATAAGGCACTAAAGTCATTTGGTGAGGGCAGTGACCAAGCAGCCTTGAAGAAAAAAGGCCATATTTCCCAGTGAGTGCATGTCCCCTGTGCCAGTGAAGGCCTCCTCTGCCAGAGCAGCACTTTTGTTTGCTGGTTTCCCTCTTCAGGCTCTAGGAGGAGGGCTCTAGGAGGAGTAGGGGGTGACCAGCCTCTGCTCCTGAATGCTGGGACTGCTGAGGGAGCAAGGTGGACCACACCAGCTTGGAAAGCCCCATGGTGAGGCGGCTGCACCACAGGAAAGCCCACAGGTCGACCCCTATGGCACCATCTAGAGTCCACACTGACTCAGCTCACCAACTGGGCGGCTGAGTCAGAAGAAGTTATGGATTGGGGCAGTAGAGAAGGCTGGGTCAGGGAGTTGGTGAGTGAATTCCTGGAGGAGGGATACTTGGACTCTAACCTCTCTGGGCCACAGGCCCTGCCCCTGCCCTGAGGTCTTGGACACGCTCCCCCAGCCACTCTGCTATTGTGTCCTCTTCGTGTGTGTGTATCTAGTGCGGTCTGTGAAGGCAGGGGCCTCATCCTTATTTATTCATTTGTCTCCCCATTGATCGTTACACACTGAGGACAAAATGACAAATGAAAGAGTCAGTGAAGGAGACGGGTATTAGTAACACAATCACACAGATAAATATCTAGTCATAAAGTATGAACAGAATTAGGAAGATACCTGATAGGGAAGCTGACCCAGGGATGCTGGACTCTGCAGGCCTTCAGGAAAATTAAGACAAAGGAAGTCATATAAGGGTTACAAGCAGTGAGGCATGGTCTGTTTCTCTTCCTTGTCCAGGGCTGTCAACAAGATCGAATGGAAGGCTATTTACTATTTACTGGTATGTGTGAGGCACTCTATACAAATGCAGTCTCATTCTAGTCTGCATAGCCCTGTAAGCTAGGTGCTAACATCCTCATCTATAGATGTAGAAACTAAGGCTTAGAGAAACTTAACTCAGCCAAGGCCACGGCTTCTGGAAAGTAGCAATGCCTGGATTTAAAGCCAGGTCTGGCTGTTTTCAAATACAACACCATAACATCACACTCTAGCAGACATTTAGCAAATGCTTCTTGCACAAGTGGCTAGCTTGTGCGGGCTTGGTGGGCTTTGAGTGTCCCCAAGGCTTTAGAATTCTCCTTCTTCTTCCCCTCAAAAGGATTGTGTAGTCTGAAACTGGGCAAAAGTTGCCTATGACAGACTCCTATTTTCTCAGTCTTGCTGCTATGCCTAAATCCAACAGGAAAGAAAGATGAACCTCTCCTGGGTGGTGTGTCCACTGCCTGGGCCTCTGAGAAGGGCCTCTCTTGACTGGCAGTCCCTCCTTCTGGTTTCTCTTGGCTTGAGTCCTTTGTTACCCATGTGTTTTCTTCCTGCTCACCCTTTGGGCATATCCCAAGCCCCTGATATTGTTGGCCCAGATGACATCTGAGCATTGATCACTCCAGCTGGCAACAGGCTTTGGCATCATTCTTTTTCTTTTCTTTCTTCCTTTTTTTTTTTTTTTTTT